CCGAGAAACGAGTCATCAAGAAACTCTTGCATTAGACTCTACACACATTGCATCGATGAAGTTCGGTCAATAGTTGAGGGAAACTAGAGAGAATAGTTGACCTAGGACAACGAGTCAAACACCACGCGGGTGGGCGAGGTCAATGGAGAGGAAGCTGTCGGGGCTGCGCCAATGAGGCTACCAAAGACGAAAGGTAGGTGTAGATGAGACGTGGATGTGGACATTCCCAAAGTCAATTTCCGGCCTCACCGTCCATCTACATGGGAAGCAACAAATCCCGCAACAATGCGGCTCAGGCGGCAGGGGTTGACGACCTAGGGGTGATGTGGAGGCCAGGGGTTCGCACTCATCTCAGGTGAACGCCTTCTTCTCTGGTGGGTGCGTGGAGGAAGCCTAACATTGGTGGGTGGACTCTGGAAGGATTAAACTAAGGGTCGGGTGAGGAGGGCGGCGGCGGCCAAGGCGGGAGTCTGCGTGGCCGCGGAGCTACGGACAAGCAGCAATGAGGCACTGGGACACGTCCACACCGTCTCGTGGTAACTAAAACACCTTGGTGACTCTTGTCTGGATGACATGGAGACCTGGTAGCTCCCTCGCAAAGGAACGATGTGCCGAGGACCATGCCATTTTGGACATCGACGACAATGGAACTAAAGAACACGCATCCCCTCATTTGTAAGCAAAAAATACATTGGTGGCTTTGAGAAGGTTGTTCTCAATAAAACTTAATTGGATAAATTTCAGCAAAGACACTAGGCACTTCACGACGAGCATGTCCCCATGTCCAACCCTGTGGCTCCCTAGCTATTTTTTAGATAATAGCCTATGGCCTGGCCTTAAACTGAGGCCCATAAGGTTCTACAAGCATCCTGGCTAATTACCCTGGTGTGATATGATTAGAAAGAACACTGAACACGAGTTACGCGACTATCAAATTTATGTGTTCGCTTTCCTGATATGGTACACGTTGGACTTGAGAGTACCTAGTTGTCAAGGTAGTGAGCTTGCAATGCAATTTTCGCACTATAAATTAGCTCCGCTCTTTCTCTCAAGATCCTTATGTGCAAGAAAAATTTGAGAATTTTATATCATCACGAAAATTGGAGATACTCTCTTGGTTTTCACTTGTTCATGGCTTTAGAAGGCTCCTGCAGCCCTGGTTTCTATGTGATGGCACGGAAGACCATGCTTCGCTGGTTGGTTCACCCTAATGCGGGGTGAAGAAGGCCTTGCTTTTGAAGTCACGGGGCTGAGTGTGGTGAAGAAGGCCTTGCTTTTGAAGAACCCTAATGCGGCAGTGTGGGAGGGCAGTTGAGTGGTCGAGCTCTACCACATGGTTCCGCTGCCACCACGGGGCTGAGTACACGGGGCAGGAGAAACGGAAAAGAAAGAGGAATAGTTTGGGCGCAATAAACGGGAGTTGTTGGCTTCCGCTAGTGAACGAGCGGCCCACCACGGCCCGGTTCATGTGCAAGCTCCGAGAACGGTTCGCAGAGTAGCGTCCAAGTCACATTGCGTGACTGGTTCGTGCGGTTAGTGCGGCAAGGAGGCCGACATGCACGCCAGGGGAGCATCCGGTGCGCTCGTATGCAGATCTGAGGGCTGATGACCTTAAATCAGTTGTGAGATGTCCTAGCTAATCCAGTTTTACTCTTTAGTAATAATGTTAAGACAACAACTTCTTCAAATTTCATGCACAAAGAATAACTTCTTCAAGTTAAGAACTTTCCCGCTGATCTTATTTGCCTTCTATACAAAGGGTTTCCTTTAGATAGTGGAAGGACCGCTATAATTCAATGAAGAATTTAGCAAGAAGGGTAAGTTTTTTTGTTCTCCATATTTTTAGCTAACATTTAATTAAATGTGGTATTTCCAAATAAAATGGCAACCACATTCAGATATATACTTCATTAACGAATGATTCTTTATTTTCTTTTATTTCATCATCAAAACAAATGCGTTCATGCTTGCATATATATCCTACTGGGGGGAGGCAAGAAGAGGAAAGAAGTAGTAGTAAGAAGGTTATTTACTCACTTACCTCTGGGACATAGTGCATAAGGAGTTTTAGATGTATATTTATTTGAAAAGCTATCGGCAAATTAGCTCATCAGCTAATAACATTCTCTATATCTTTTCTTTTAGTTCTACATATTCCTAGGTATCTTGAGTGATTTGCATATATACTTAAAAATCTCCCAAAAAATGAAAACGCCCTTCTGCTATAATCACTAACACATTAACAAAACTAAAATAATTTTAAGCACATACATTCTTTTTTATAATGGAAGAAACCAGCAACTTACTTCAGTTGAATTAATTTGCCGTCACCTAATGTTAAGTAGTTCACTTTAAAATTTCTATTGCTTTTTAGCTAGAAGATTAGTACCACAGAAAAGCCTATGTACTCGTCAAATATGACCGATCAATGATATAAATTTTACCACAATAGATGGAGCTGATCTGTCTACATGTACTTCTTAATTATTGCCCATTTAACTTCATAAATCCGATGAGCACAAAATTTGATCTACGTCGATGTAATGGTCATTAGATGATAGCGTAGATGTTTTTATGGGGACATCCCTACTACAGGTACACACATAGCCCCCACAGCCACACACCGGCAAGTAATAAAATAAAAATAAAAATAGGTGCCAATCACCGGAGCCTGCACTCGTTAACTGAAGTATCAGATAGTATTTCAATACATTGCATCTGGATATGTCGATACATTGCATCTGGATATGTCGATACATATTCCCTTGCCTCCCTTCTATCTGTAGTATCTTGAGAGTGGCTACAAATAAGAACTAACAATCAGCAGGAACCGTACGGATTTCTGACAACTTCCATTCCCACTCAAGAACATTATCTATGCATGAATTTGTTGAGCAATGTAACTGCAGGCCATTAATACGGGCTCATGCAACCAATGTAAATAGATATGATGGAAGTGCTAGTTTATAATTGAGCTAACGTTGAAGTCTATCATCTATATAACTTGTATATTTCTACTCCTTATCCACATTGCTTGTCGCAGCTTTAGTAAAACTTTAGTACAAAGTTATGCTAAAGCAGCCATAATTAATATGGATCGGAGAGAATATTTTGTTGTTGTTGTTTGCCTCCCTAATCTAATTTAGCAATTCAGACCATGCTTGCATTGCACAGAGTGTGTTTGTTGTATCAATCCATATCATCCATGTACTTGTAAGTTGTAACAACAATGAATGACATGTATGCATCGCCATCGGTCACTTTGACAGCTGAAAATTGAATTGAACTCCATGAAACAGCACAAAATTGTACAAATGAAAGATCCTCAACCAACTATACTGTCAGATTAACTATACAAGATTCGTCCATTCTCAATCTCCTCATAAATTTGAAACATTAACATAATTCTTTTCCTTACGAGTTTGTTGTTATATATTGTGATGGTAGATAAATTCTAATTAGCAGGGGGAGGATCCGCTGGGGGTGCTTGTTACCCCCTCCGAAAATATAAATTTTAATTTACTTTGTACTAGTATTGAGCTGATTAACCTTTTTCCTATTGCAAATGATCATATGTGTAATTGTTAATTGTTTATGATCCAAACTCTAAAATCAGTGAACTTATACGGTTCTCAACTATCTCTAACAAGATAATACTAATCACAGTTAGCATTCGGATGAACAGTAAATATGTACATCGATCAAGCAAATTTAATTTGTGTGCTTTCAAGTTTGTTTTATAAGGCCGAAGCAATTCCTTTTTGGTAAGAGAGCAATCACTATTACAACCTTAACACCGTCATTTTGCAGGTGTGTTCACCTATTAATAGTAGGCATGTAACGCGATGTCCCCGAAGGCCCACGAAAGTGATAAGCCAACACAAATTAAACTAATCCAACTCAACTCAAGATGGCAACGGGGCCCCGAAACCCGCGTCCCTGCGGGTTTTTACCCTATTAGGGGACGGGGATGGGCATCTTTTCATCCCCACGGGGCTGTTGTTGGGCGCATTATACAACCCGACACGTTTCATGGGTTTGCACCCGTTTCGGTAGTCCCCGAACCCGAAACCCGGCAAACCCGGCAAAATACATTTTTTTACTGAAATATGCTCCTGTTTGTTGCTAAAATATGCTTATCTTCGTTGTTGAAATGGGCTATAGTTGTGTTGAAATAGGCTTTTTTTAGCTGATGTTATTCGTGAGTATTGTGCTAAAATTTGCAGTTGTTTTGCTGCTGAAATATACTATATTGCTGCTGAAATGATATCATTGTTGCTACTATGTTATGTTTGCTGCCTCCGAAATATACTATGTATGTTGTTTAAATCTGCTAAAATGCACTTTATATAGCTGTTGAACCATCTACTATTGTTTTTTGTTGAAATTTGCTCTAGTTATGCTGCTAAAATGTGCTTGTTTTGCTATTCAAATGTTATTCTTTGTCACCACTATATTTGTTTAAATATTTTTATTTTCTCATGGGTTCCCCGTGGGTTCCCCGAAACCCGATGGGCGAAAAACTAGCCCCGCACACGGTGATGGGAACGGAGATGGGTTTGCGATTTTCTTGTGGGGATGGGTTTGGGAAGGCAAAATCCGATGGGTTTCGTCCCCGTTGCCATCTGGAAACTCAACCCAGTTAACCTATTTTTTCTAATCCACACGGCACCACAGCAACATTGAACCAAAGCCAGGAGAATCACAGGTTGCAAGGCAAAGTAGGAGAAATGACAAGAGGATCAAATAGGAGAAGGCAACGGTTTCACAATTGCTAAGAATAAATATCGATAATGGTCAATACAGCATTTGTTTCACATTTAGGGCAAACCAAAATAGTAAGCAGCAGACATGTCTTTGTTGTAAATAGTATATATATAGTGTACGATAACCAGACAGATATTTAGAACGAAATAAAAGTTCCCTATCACGAGCGAGTGAAGCAAATCAACTAATACATAGCTTACGACAAACGGCATGATGATCTCCCATCTAGGGTTTTAGGCGCGTTCGCCACGGATGCGGCGGGCAAGCTGGATGTCTTTGGGCATGATGGTGACGCGTTTGGCGTGGATGGCGCAGAGGTTGGTATCCTCGAACAGCCCGACGAGGTACGCCTCGGCGGCCTCCTGGAGCGCGAGCACGGCGTGGCTCTGGAACCGCAGATCCGTCTTGAAGTCCTGGGCGATCTCCCGCACCAGGCGCTGGAAGGGCAGCTTGCGGATGAGCAGATCCGTGCTCTTCTGGTACTTGCGGATCTCCCTCAGCGCCACCGTGCCGGGCCTGTAGCGGTGGGGCTTCTTCACGCCGCCGGTGGTCGGGGCCGACTTCCTCGCCGCCTGAAAAGAAAACGCCACAATCGATAATCAGCGAAACAGCAGCAGATCGGAACAGGGGAGGAAGGAGAGAAGGGAGGCGGCGAGACGTACGATGGTGGTGGCGAGCTGCTTGCGGGGGGCCTTGCCGCCGGTGGACTTGCGAGCGGTCTGCTTCGTACGCGCCATCTCCTTGGTCGGTTCCTCTTCCTCCTCGACTTGCGCTGTGGGATTTGGGTGGTTATAAACTCGAACGGCTGGACGACGGGTGCGGAGGCAATTTATATACATGAGGGGGCGCTGGGGAAACGTGGACCGAGGCGGTTTCCTGTGACCGCTCGGGAGGAAAAAGGGTTCCGGGATGGCCTCGGTGATCCACATGCTCGGCGCTGGTTCGTCATGGAGCGACAATGTGCGGATCGGTGACCTGGCGGTGGTGTAATTGGGCTCTTATTATCTTTTTGAACACATCAAGTCCGTTGGCCTTTTATTTTGGCACTAGCAAATATATACCCGTGTGTTGCAATGGGTGAGAAAAAAAAATCACAGTTCATACCGCAATAAGCATGATCTAAACCGCATATGGATGGAGTTGAGGTAGTCCAGCTAGAGAAGCCGCGACGGCATCCAGGACCACACCGCGCCGGAAACCCAAGCAAATAGGTTTAACCGCAAGGACGCATACGGAGAAGGCAAGAGGATCCGACGGAGAATTAAAGGACCGATTTACAATGATGAATAGCATTTGGGGGGTGGGGTGGGGGGGGGGTGCGTCGGTCGGGAATGGCGGCAAACGACGACTTTACTTGGAGAGAGAGAGAGAGGCATCCGGAAGAGAGTTGAGACCGAAAGAGCACGCATGTTATGTATGTGAATTTTGAAATGCTTGTGTTTGCAACATGCCCAAATAATGTAAAAGAACCACTAGGAAAAGAATTCTAGTGTTGCAACATGTGCAAAGTAAATTTGAAACAATATTATAAAGGAATATCTCCTTACTACTTTCTCATGTTCGACCGAAAATGAATATCCCCCACAATGATCCTCGGTTAATTAGTTGTGCCAAATAGGAACATTTTTCTACCAATATCATAATGCAAAAGAACTATGAGCAAAAGAATGGTGCAACCGGACACGGCCATGATAGTCCAGTATTGCGCACCAAGATGGCTGCCCTCGGCATCGTCGTTCTTGGACGAGCCCATGTCCAAGTCTCTTCGAGCCAGCGTTGGAACACCTCCGCCTTCCTGGACCGCTCCGGCTCATTAGGTCTCATGTGCATCATCTCCCATTCACCCGGGAGTGCACTACACGATAATAGCATACTCGTCCTACTTGATGTAGTAATATATTGTTCTATCCCTCTCTTTCTTGTACTTCTATAGAAAGAAACAGTTAATGGAATTCCTTTTACGCCCATCTTCAAGTTCATCGTCTTATGTCTTCCTTTGCTAAACCAATAAGTACATACACAAAAAGAAAGGATACATTCTTACTACGTTGAGATGCAGCTTCACCAATTTTGACTGAATAGCACATGACAGTTTTCATGATGGACGGAAGGGAGAACGATGTTTGCACTGGGCTTCCAGCGTTTGTTCCCATCCATCATTGGCTCTCTCGCTGACTTCGTCCTCCCTACTGTCAGGCCTCCTCTTGTTGTCCTCTGTGAGTCATTTTTTCATCCAGCTGAATCGAGATAGCTGAGCGGATGCTGATGTGCATCATCAAGATTTTGTTTTTGCCTTTTTCCAGTCTCATCTGAGACAGCACGGTGCATGCATGCTCGTTGTTTAGCGTCTCGATTTACTTTTTTTTTTCCTTTTTCAATCTCACATTTGATCTATTTTTTTTCGAAATTTCCTTTTTTTTTACTTATTTCCTTTCTGATCAATATTTGTACGCACAGATTTTCTTCTTCCTTAATTCCTTCCCAATCAATATTGATTTTTGTGGTTGCTTATTGATTTCAGATCACAGATGTATATAAATTGGTGGGATAGGGTGCAAGGGAGCAAGGTGGTTATATTTAATAGGAAATAAATCTTCTTTGTTCGCATGAGCACGAGGCAACTCAATTGAGGCTGGTTCATTGGTCGCGAGTTTGATCCATGAAACTATCTGTTATCTTTTTGCATGGGCCAACTTGTAGGATTAACCGGGGTGAGGCCCAAGAGGATGAAAAATCATTTCTATCGTGATTCTAGATAAGATAAATTCGACGTTGAGTATGCGGACTTGTGGAATTTGTGTAACATGAGAAACCTACACGCGATCATGATCAGACTATAGACTCTGTTCTAATCCAAAGAGGCCAAGAGCATTAAGGCATACGTTGGTTTCATGGAACCTGTCCCTGGGTCCAACTCCAAAAAGACTCAAATTCTATCTCTGAGTACATGCTTGGGTGTAGGTATATCAGATAGAGAAAGCATGCATCATTTTCCATAAAAATACACGCTAATCTTTCAAGCTAACCAAATCCTTGTGGTTATCGTCCCCTCTTGGAACAAACTGTTTTACGATGATACCTTGAGGATCAAAGATGACAATGACCAAACAATCGAGACCTCAAAGATGTCAAGCACACGGTGAACTATGCGTTCTAATTTTTGAGGCACAACGGCGGAGCAGCCTATGGTCACAAAGATTGCTACAAGCTATTCATCACTACTTCCCAAATTTGCAACACCTTCGGGGAGCGTCATGTTTTGTTTTTACGTGTGGGCCAGTATGTATGAGTTGGTCCATGAGTACAACCTAGTGAAGAGTCCCAATAATTTCAAGAACAACATGGCCTTGATGCAGCACCTACATGACGCACAAAAAAACTTTGCTCGCAGTAGAGAGGTGCTGGCTATAGTAGAGAGGGGCTGGCTCGTTTCATTAATGATAAAGTGATTCGCCCAGATAGCACATTTTATGCTGGCCCTCTTCAACTATAACTCAGCCGCCAAAGGGGCCATCTTCTTCGGCCAAAGGGCCAGCTACTGCCAACAAGCCATATTCTTGGGTCAAAGAGCCAACTGCAACCAATAAGTCGTCTTCTTCGTGAAGGAGCCACTTATGGCAAATCTCGATCCCATGACAAATTAGAATAATATCCTTCTAAGCAAGAAGACGGTTTTTTTGTGTGTTTTATAGTTGTTGGATGATATACATAGATTGTGTTGATGTCATTATTGTCACGTAGTAATAATTTTTATTGGATTTAATGAAATATGTAGGAATTCTAACCTTCAAATATTAGGAATGATATTCCTCGAGTCCGATAAGTTTACAAAGATATACTTTTTTCTTATGTCATTCATGCTGGCACAAATGTGTGTGCAATGTTGATTTACCATATATATAAATGCATATATGGATCCTTTTTAGCTATGAAACTGACCCTTGTTTGGTATATGATATGGAAAAATATGTATTCATGTGTATGTGTAGTGCAACAGGGGGTGGTAGAGGTGCAACATGTTATGTAGCTAGTCCCCAACCAAGGATCATTGACCAGTCTCAGTAGGGGGTGGTAGAAGTGTAGCAGGGGCTGGTACAAGTGCAACATGTTATGTAGCCAACCCCCAACCAAACATCATTGACGCCCGGTCTCAGCCGGAAGGACAGTCAGCGATGTACTCTTTATAAGGTACCTCGAGGCAATCAACGTTGGCCGATTGCCTGTCACTGTTGTGCGTTATCACTGTCCTATCAACCGGCCCGTATGTGATAAATCATTTATCATAGATTCGGAGGCACAAACGGTCCCCTCGTGTGTAAGTGATGATAAATTTTTGTAGGTTAGTGCTATTCGGCGATGTAGTAGTGGATGCTAAGTTGTAGCAACTCCATGTCCCTAAATGTGGCCAGAAGCTTGGCTAAAGATACTTCCCAGTCGAAGCATGCTCGTCCCCTCTGCATCATTACTGTTGTAGATGTATTTCAGATTGGACATCCTATCGCTATTGCTGGCTAACATTGTACCATAATGGATCACATGATTTTCATTGCAATGAATGACTCTCTTGTGAATCAACATGACTCTTGCCTGAACCATTACTATGAGTGTTGTTGCATGGATTTTCAGCTTCAACAATTTGTCCTAGTGAAACCGATGTTGCAGTAAGTAAAGGTGAAATTGATCTTATACCCTACCTAAGACCTAACAGTGGGAGGCAATATTTGCAACACCAATAATGTTCCAGAAAATATTTGCAATTTTTTCATAGTGTTGTTGTGGAAGGCAATTTGCAGCACACGTGATGTTGCAGAAAAATTACAAAAAAGAAACACAAAGGACACACGTCATACAGAGGAGGCGGCGGATCGCTTGCGGAAGAAGGCAAGCTTTTCCCATATAAATAGTGCAGAAACAATGACAATCATATCAGTTCAATCACTCAGTTTTACTGTTCACACGCTCGCTTTGCCGAGGGCAACAACACAGGAAAGAATAGAGAGAGACTTTCCGAGAAACAATCCAATGGAAGAATTATGTTTGGTGGACAACTGTACCACTAACTCAATACTACGGGAAACAAAATATTTCCAAATTCCAACCAAGAGGAAAGGTAGTATTATGACCATGGTCGTAACCACTCATTGTAATTGAGGATGCACTACTAGGAAAATGGTTATACGTAGAACTTTACCAGTAGCGTGTGTTTGGGACCCCACGCTACTGATACATACCAGTAGCACTTGGTAGGAAACGCGCTGCTGGTATTAGTTAGCAGCAGTGTGTATTTTTCTGAGACGCGCTACTAGTAAGTGTGCCACACCACACCCTCAGGATAGACCATAGTAGTAGCGTGGGGTATAAAAACCGCGCTACTACAATATTAATAGTAGTAGCGTGGATGTGCAACCCCGCGCTACTACTATGGATAGATAGGATCAGCTAGTTTGCTCGCTTAGTAGTAGCGTGTGTTCCTGAGACCGCGCTACCACTACGAACTTAGTGATAGCGCGGCTCATGGCCATTCGCTACAACTAAGCGCACACCTCCCTCTCCGCCTTATCCCCCCCCCCCTCTCTCTCGTCATGTTCTCTCTCTCCCCTTCCTTCCTCGACTCCGATCCAGATCCAGCGCCCCGGCAGAGGGCTTCCCACTCCGACCTCGGTGCACCCTCTTCCCCATCGCCGCCCGCCACGATCCCCTCACTTGGCCCGTGGATCCATCTCTTGCATGGCCGCTGCCCACAACGTCTCCTCCTTCCCCCATCTCATCACTAGGGAAGACAAGGCAAGCGGGAGGGAGATCGACCGTGTAGGTCAGATCCATCCGCCACGACCTCGAC